CACACTACATACAGACATACATACACATACACATACGAAATGAAGTGAAAAAGTTTGAACTGAGAAGGAGAAACTTCATCGTTCCTTTTTTCTTCAATAAATCAATGCACTGAGATTATTTGAAGGGAAAGAAAAGAGAAGAGAAGAACAGAAAGCGCCCATCTCGAGGTGATCGATGTCACCTCACCGAGAGCACTGCGCCCTCTCTGAGTCATTCATTCATTCTAAGTGATTCATTCCATTTACTGCGTCACATTTCATTTTAGGAAAATAAAGATTGAAATAATAAAAAAGAAATAAATTTCAATTTGTTTCACATTATTGACATTTGAAATAACTGTTGAAAGTAGAAATAATTTTAAAATAAGTACCAAATCGCATCGTATAGAATCAAAATGCAATTTTAGCACTGAAATAATTTGTGAAGCGCTAAAAGTGCTTTGATCTGCTCCGAGTGTCACATGCAAACAAGTAAGTATCAATAACAGACATTCGCTAATTTTACCACATTTGACAAAGTTTTGCTCAAACAAAGTTAATGCGACAATTCAACAGCATCCTCAATTGTCAGAGAGAGAAAAAGCACTCAGTAAAATTATTGATAAATCGATTTTCACTGCATGTCATAAAAAATATTTTATTATTTTGTGAATCAAAATTTTGTGAAGAGAAAAAAAAAAAAACAAATAAGTAAAAAATAAGAATATGAATGATCAGTTAATAGTAAATTGAGAATTAATTTGTTAGTAACAAAAGAATTTCAGAATTTTGCATTTTCTTACAAAAGAAGAAGAAACAAAGAACTGAAAAAGATAAAAGTTTTCTAAATGTAATAATTAATTAAAGCGGTTTCTGTGTTGATTCTGAACGATTAGCCGGAATTGAACGGATTGATAGATATTTTGAAATGAAATGAAAAAGAAGAAGGAGAGGAAGCTAACTAATTAGTTAATCTTATCGAAAAAAAGAAGAAAATAAAGAGAGAAATTTTTTGAAATTAGATATAGATAATGATAAAGAAAGGCAAACAGCTGGAAATTTTAAATGAAAATGAGAGGAAAAACAAAAAAAAAGATTGATTCATTACTTTGACTTTGATAAATTCAATTTCAACTAACAACAATCATAAATCGATGAGATAACTGACATTGAATTGCTTCGACAAATATCATATCATATCATATCATATCAGTGGCATTCACTCACAACTATAGGTTGATACTGACAAAAATGAATAATGAACGATTTGAAAAAGTTAAAATTTCCCAATAATTAATGATTTCGAATTCATTTATTTGTATTGAACGGAAATGGTTTGTTAATCATAAATGACTGATAAATACTGATAAGATTAACACAAAGACAAACTGACAATGCAAACTGTATGAGTTATGAAATGAAATGGCTTCTTTCTATTCCGGAATCCTTCTCTCCCGGAATCCTTTTTTCTCATGCAAATTTATGAGAGTTTCCTGACGAAACGGATAACAGAACACCTGAGAGCATGTCTATTCCTGAAGATCGGTGACAAAAAAGAAAAATTAGAACGGATCAACCAGATGGAATATTATAACACTTTAGATTCTCCTATAATTTGGAACTGCTAAATTGTAGACGGAACAGAGCTAATCAACAATTCAAATAGTTTTATCATCGATTGATGAAAATGAAGAATGATAGAGAGGTATGTGATTTATATTTAAGAAAAAGAATAAAACTTGGGGATTTGACGAGAGCTATCATTTGCACCTTATTAAGTCAAATTGTCGTTACAATTGCGCAATTGTCCACCTCGTTTTCATTGCTGACAAATTCGAAAGAAATTAACAACAGTGATTATCACTTGAATCGTTTATAAATTATTCCATAGTCCAGTCATCATTACATAAATTTATTTTGTCATCTTTTCTTGATTTAAACAAAATTTCATTTGAAAAAAGTTTTTGCATATTACGAACAGATTTGTTTTGAACAGAATTCGAATCATTTAAATTTATTTAAATTAGTGATCCATTTTTTTGATTAAGATTAATGTCTACCACAAATAAAGATGTAAAAAAGAATTAATCAAATGAATGATTAAATGGTAAGGTGAAGAAAAATTGTTGGAAGGTATGAAATAGGTGAACAGATAAAGGTCAAACGAAAGAGTAAATGAGGAGACGATGAAATTGGGGTGAAAGACATGGACATACCTAAAAGTCAAGAATCTCGAATAAGTCGAGAGTGTCATGGTAAAATAGAGACGGTTGGAGGAACACAATAAATGGACAATCGTTCATCGCCATTTTTTAATGACAATTTGATAAGAGTTTGATGAAAATTGTAAAATATAGTCAAAAAAACCTTACCTCTCAAGAATTTCATTAATCAAAATTTTTTTCCCCAAGAAAAAAGTTCATAAAAAAAAATCTCAAGAGAGGAAAAATTGTCTAACTTTTTACTTCCGTGAAAAAATTTCGTCGTTTTCCAAAAATTGCCTAAGTGTTCTTTTTTGCGAGGATTTTTAGCTTATCTATTTATATCTTTTATTATTTGAATATCTAAAAAAGCAGTTATAAATAGCAGTGCTAGAAATTTGGAAGAGATATTTAATCGCTTTGTTAAGAAGCAGTAAAAAACTTCTGGAAAATAAAATTTCATCAGTGATAACTTTACCAAATTGAGTGCAATATTTCATGCCTATAAATATTTATTAAAAATTTAAAAGAAAAAGCAAAATTTATTTTTCAGTGGAAAATTCCTCGTACGATTTATGTAAATGAAATAAATCTTTTATCTAGCCACGCCTAATTTTCATTTCTTTTTCCAAATTTAATTCTTTCAAATGAATTTCCCTTTTTTATTGAAGCGAATTTTCTAAGAAACTGGCAAACTATCAAAGCATATAATATTTGACACAGTAAACACTGGCATATACCTAAACATTAGGTAAGTAAGTAAGTAAGTAAGTAAGTAAGTTAAGTAAATAAGCTCAAAATCATTGCTGCACAGTCCTCCAAAACAACAATAACAACTGTAAGTGTTTTTCTTCTCAAATTGCGATGAGTCAGTTTTTGCTCTTTGAAATATTTGCCACTTCTCCTTCTAGTAGTAGCAGCAGGAAAAGCGGAAAGCAATTCCCCTTCTTCGAGAATTAGTGATTGGCCTAAATCCGTTTTCTGGATCGGAATCGCCGTGCACTTTATGATTTATGAAATCCGGTTCAGATCATTAAGTTGGACTGAATTACGGCGTATCACATTTCGGATTTTGATATGCGTGACATTTCGCGTGACATCTCGATATGTATGTATATCATTTGTGATATCGGATATCAAAGTTTTCGTGGATTAGATCGTCTCCGAACATTTCCTTTCTCTTTTCCTTTAATCCTCTTTTTAAAGGGACAGTCCCTCAAGATATGTTTAGAAGAGAAAATCAGTTTAAAATAAACTTTACTTACAGGAAAATAAACTATCATTTTACTATTTCAAAGGATTATTTAAAGCCTAGCAATATTCTTTCTCTTTTCGCTTTCTCAAGGGATTATTTAATAACTTTGAATTATTTAATAACTAAAGTTTAGTGTTTTTAGAAATATTTAGAATACCTTTCAGACTATATTTTTCTTTTTTTTTGGCCAGAACAACTTTCTGTCTAACAACATTTTAACTTTTCAGCCAAAAACGATTGAAGATCGTTCTCCAATTATAAAATTAACTTTTGTTTTCTGCCCTTTTCGTCAACCAACAATTTCCGACGATTATTACTTATTATTAGGTGGAAACAGTTTATTCTGTAATTTTCATCTCTTCCTGATTTTCTTGATTGTAACGATCGATTTCCCTGATCTCCTTGATCACTAAACCTTAGCTTAACTATTTTATTTATTTCTATACAATGTTTAAAGTAATTTTACGCATGGAATTTTCAAATGACAGTTGTCATCGAAGTATCTCATCAGTTTAAATTTACTTGAAAATATTTATTTACTTTCATCTTTAGTGAAAAATAAAAGGAAGTCGAGATTGAATCTATGTAATAATAAATGGATTGTGTTGATGGCATAAGCCTGAATCAACCTGAGAAAGCAGGCAATTAAGTTTGAGAAATAATTGGTGTCTCTAATATTGCTAACATTTAGGGAATGGATGATTGTAGCATTTTATCTCCCAAAACATTAAATTTTAATTAATGCATAATTCAGAATAAGTTTTTTTCTTTTTGATTTACTGTTATAAGGAAGCAAAAGAAGAAAAAATATTACTAAGCTTGAAACAATCGTTTAAAATGAAAAAAAAAAAGTGAATAATGATAATAATAATGATCATGATGATGATAATGATCATGATTATGATAATGATCATGATAACGATGATGACGATTTCTCAGAGTTTTTAAAAGTAAGCATGTAGCGATCATTAGAAGACAGTACTGTTTCCTGTGTGAAAATAAAATTAAAACTGAAAAAAAATTTAACAAATCGAAAGACTGTCATGTTTGTTTATACTATGCAACGAGAATGATAGCTAAAAGAGAGGAAAAGATAAATTGCTTAGATGAAATTAATTGCTTAGATGAAAATTGCTCAACGAAAAATTAAATTTTACTCCGAAAAAAAAAAAAATTAAATCTTTTTTTTTTTAAATTGTCTTACGTAATCTAACAGTGAGAAAAAGAAGAGGAAAAATTGATAATAATGTTTGATAAAAATAAGTTCACAGTAAAATTTATTTTAATTATCGGAAAATTAAGAAATACAATTATAAATACACACACACACACACTACATACATACATGCACATACACACACATACACACACATACATACACATACACATACATACATACATACAAACACGTGTTATGTTAGTGGATTAATCGAATAAAATAATTTTGCGACAAAATCACTTATTGTGTTCTCCAATGTTTTTTCTTTTTTTAATTTCATGTGAAAATGAAAAGCCTTGAAGTGGTCAAAGAAAAGAAGAATTAATTCGAACATAATTAGCCATACCTTTTGTTGTTGTCTCCGTTGTTGTTGTTTTCTTTTTTCACTATTATAAATTTCATTATCAACATTTCTTCTCTGTCTTGCAATTTCTTCCTGATGCATACCTATAGAAATGAATACTTTAAAATCTTAAAATGTATTTAATTTGCTAATTCAATTCTTAATCTTAAATAATTAAATTAAAAAAAAAAAATGCATGCAAAATTCAATGACAAATTTCATTCTATTCTTTTTCCTTTTTTTTTTTTTTTTTTCTCTTCAAAATTCGTTTCTTTTTCAAATTATTAGATAAAATCACGTGAATTACTAAGTGATAATTTCATGCAACGTAAAACATTTGTTAGACATTCATTTCTTCCATTTTTCTTTTTTCATTTTTTCTCGAAACAAATTTTCGTCGTTGAATTAGCAATTAGCAACACAAAAAGGAAAAACACTTCATCTTCTCATTAATAAGCAAAGCAAACAAATCACCAACCACTTGAAATGAGAGCAACAACGCCAGCAGTGGCTGTGGCAATACCAACTCCGCTCAATTGCTCGTTCACAAGAGCGCTTCTGGTGGAAGAAGTTTGCAACGAGATTGCCGGTGAGGCGCTCGCACGTCGTTTGTGATGGTGAAGCGTTAATGGTAACAATGATTTATCATCGTTCACATTTGAATGATTTTGATCAATATTTTTACGAAACGGTACTAACGTGTTCAGAAATGAGCCACTTCGACGTTGAATCGTTTTTGATAAACGTTTTGTCCATGTGGTACGACCTTTAAAAAACAAAAAAAGAAAAAAACTGTTCTTTACTATTAAATGAAAGTTTTACTTGATCACAGGTTATTAATGGATATTTTGTTAGTAAATTTCTTTTTTATTTTCGTTGTTGATAAATGAGATTTAATGAGAATGTCAAGATTATACAATAGAATTGTCATAAAAACTGATAATCAAAAATGTGAAATAAATTTATATCTTGCAAATAATTTTTAATGTCATTTCTGATTTCATTGACAAAAATCAAAGTTGTTGAAATTCGAAATTGAAATACTCAATTACAGTGCCCACCATATGAAAGATAGATTAAAACTTTTTAATTCTTACAATCACTAATTTTATGACAACTTCAAGCAAACTGAACCATATCCGAAATATATCAAATTGTGGTATATTTTAAAAAATTTGTTTCTTTTTATTAGAGTAAAGTTTTTTTTTTTTTCAGGAATTTTAATATGCGACAATACTAACAATAATTATTTGTAAAACACACACAAAATTAATTTCTTAGTTTTATTATTTTTTTTTTAATTTCAAAAGATAAGGAAAAAAGGCAAAAAAAAAAAATAGAAAATACATTGAAATGAAAGAAACCTGGCGTTGAACGCAATACTACCGTCTGTGACGGTGACGACGTCTCACGTAATGGCGGCGATGACGTTTCACGTGACTGCTGCTCATCCATTGCTGATAATTCGGTCATTGTGGCAGATGCGGTTGGCATTGCCATCTTTGCTTGCTGTTCCCTTTCCGTCAAAATATTTTCATCGAAAGCAAGCGCAGAAAGCAGAACGCTGTGTTAGTTTATCATCTGTACATTACATCGGTATGAGTCATGGATGACTCACGCTGAAATGAAATGAATGGAAAACGAGCGCCGAAGCAATGTTAAGTGGAATTGGATCGTTATGCAAATCACACCGAAACTGCAACTATTCGAGAATATTCTCGTCCAGTTCAGCTCTTTACAAAATATAACGAAGTGACACGGTGACAGCAGCATTTGGTTAAGTTTATGAGAGTTTAAAAACATTTTAACTTTGCCTTTTTCCTCATTTTTTTGTTTTTAAAAAAATCTTTTAAAACGAACTCTCATATAAGCTTTGAATAGTTGTGATAAACTTTTCAATTAAGAAATTACTGCTATCATTTCAATTTCCATTCACTTGGTAATTAATTAAAGAGATATTTTCGTAGTAATGTCAACACTTTATTAAATTCAAAACGAATCAAATAATTATGTTTTCTTCTTTTCATTCTTAATTTTGTTACTTTTTTCCGTTTTTTTGGCTGTTACAATAGTGCTTCTAAACATTATTCTTGGTAAAAAGCAAGAAAAATTAAGCAAAACTGATTCTATAATTACTTTTTCTTTTTCTGATAAATCAATAATAATCAGATAAAACTATTTATCGTCCGAGGAAAACTCATTCTAACAAAAGAAAAAAACTTAATGGCGGTAAATAATGAACTAAAATTATACTTAAAAGAATGAAAAGTGATGAAAGTGGTACAAAAGAAAGAAAAATAATTATACTACTTGCATTACTATCGATTTGTGACAAAATTTCATTCTTTTTTGCATCGAAAATAGCAAAATGAAAAAATTGATTGTACCATTATAAATGCAAAAAAATATATAAAAAATTTGTGCGAATATAATAACGTCGTCGAGAAATGACTTATACTCATTACATTAGCATTTTTAATTTTAATATCAAGTTCATTTGAGAATAATATGGATGATCCTTCAAAGGTTTAGTTAGTGGGTACTCAATTTTTTATTTCCACCACCAAACATCGAATTTTCAAATAAAAGTAGTAAATTTAAGCTATGCAGGAAATGTTTAATTAAGAAAATTTCTAATTTAAATCAAATTGCTTTCGTTCTGATAGAAACATAAAATTTGAAAAATTTTATTGTTAAATCAAATTTCTTTAAATTTATTAGTTCCAAATAATTGATTAGACATAAATGATTCATTTCAAAAATTAAACTTGAAATTGTAAGTCCTTCCACCACTCCCTCCAATAACATCAAGACAAAGAGTACTGGACAATTCATCTCTTTTCCATTGCCATTTCTCGAGACATGTAAGCCTAGGCTAAGCAAAGAGAATATTTGAAAATAAATTAGCAAAAAAAAAAAAAATCAAAATATTAAAGCTAACATGGTTGCAACAAAAATTTAACAAAGTAAAAATTGAAAAAGCAAAAAAAAAATGGCCAATGATAATAAAAAGAAAAAAAGAGAATTTAAAATTAGACAGAAGGATTCGTTCAATTTCAAATCTCTTTGTCTGATTTATAAAATCTCATAGGTATTACAATAACCATCTTCAGTTTACAATTTATGATAATGATTATAGTGCTGTAAACAGCTGTGACAAAGTTTTGCGTTCAGTGACAACCACTTACTTTCTTTATAAGCATTTGATCATTTGATGAACTTCAATTTATGTGAGCAAATCATTTATTACTTAGCAGTTTTTAATTTTTATTTTTAGTTATTCAATCAAATAATAATAGAAAGGTTTCAAAAATGACAAATTGGTGAGTGCAACAGGTAGCTGTGAGTGCTAAAATATATAAATGTTAGCTATTACTGAAATCTGCCACAATCAATTTTAATTAATAAAAAAAAGTTGAAAAGGAGAAATTTTTGAAGTAATTTACTCTAAATCTTTTCTCCCAAAAAAAAGGAAAAAGAAAAAATAAGTACAATCTGAACTTAATCAATATCACCGACAATGATCAAATAGCACTAACATAGGTATCACTTACCGCCAATCGAGTTTTTTAATTTCTAATGGTACCAGGGACAATTAATTATATTCAGTGATTTTTATTCATTGATCTTCCATATAATCAATAAATTTTATGCTTCAAACATATTAAAATATTTTATGATCCAAGAAAGGATTAATTATCAATTCATTTGCTATGTTTATGGTAGAATTTTTGAATTTATGACACATTTTATGTTTTTTATGTGATGGAATAAAATTATTGATTAATTTGAACGAATTTATGATAGAATTTGTCCATCTCAATGATTTCATTTTATTCATTTCATTCGTAAATCTTCTTGAAAACAATTGAGAGAATAAAATTGATCAAACGCATATCTTGTCACACACGTAAGTGTCACAACACACGCATACACGTATACACGTATAAGTTAGCGTTTAAATGAGTGCAAAAAAAAGTGTAAGCCAATTTCAGCATTAAACGGTGAAATTTTCCAAACGAATAAACATTGGAGAGAAAAGGAAAGCAAAGGAAATGCAAGCAAATATTTCAGAGCGTTGTTAATTTGCTAACGTAAAATCAGAAATTTGATTATTCCATTCAGTGATTAGTAAATGAATGAAATAAATGAATTGCAAGTGACTGATAATTGCAATAATGCATGTGTTTGTCTAATTAGTAAATGATGACATCAGGTAATTGACGACAGGTAATTAATGAGTGACAACAATAATTAATAGCAGCTAATTAATTAACCACAGTAATAACAATAGTAAATAATAATAAATGACGATGTATCATTTCGGGAAAGTGCACAAAACGGGAAGTGCAAAATTTTAGCAGATGAGAAGCTCAAAAATTCAACCATCCCTGAGGCTACTTTGTTATCTCAATAGACAAGCACTATTAAATGGCCTAGTTGCATGCGAAAGAATCCAACACTGGCTCCAATGTCATCTGGCCACAATGACTCTACTGCAGTAATTAAACGACGTATATTCTCCAGGAAAATATCAATGAAAACAGCGGTATGTCTTAATTTTCTTTTAATCTTACATAATTATATTTGTCGTCCAAAGAATTTCTACCCTTAATACATTACTAATAAGTATTTTCAACTAACACTGCATGCATATTAATTTTCTAGATTGGTCAATTTCCAGTTATTCCGGAAATAACAAAATTCTATCAGTAATCAATTAGCGATATATTATTTTTAAAATGAAATAACTATTAGTTTACAATTACAGTTCAATAAACATTGAACTTTCTCATTTCAAATGTTTGTTACTTTACTGCTTATTTTGAGTAATGGATGTTACTTATTCAAGGTAAGAATTTAGTTCACCTACAATAGTACGTAAATAAAAATTAAGAAAATTTCCGAAGATAATTATCGCACATTTGCATGTGACATTATCACAAGTCTCATTATCAGAAATCAATCACACATTCACATGATCACATGTCACACTGTCACACGTCATATCATATCAATCGATAAATAGTTTATGAAAGGTTGGATTACAAGTGATACCTTAACTGGCCATGATGATATGTGACAGGGTGACACATTCACTCACTCTCATACCTTTCATTATCAATCAATTTGATTCACTTTCAACAGTCTTTAATGCTATTTTACAGCCATCATTTCCAACGATATTATTGTTTAAACAATTATTCAAAATTTATACAAACCAAAATCATTCATTCATTCATTCATTCAACGAAATGCATTGCTATTGCATTATTCTTCAGCTATTTGACAATAAACTCAAATTGTTATTTAATATATGCAACAAAAAAAAAATGTATTCATTAAAAGTAATAAAAAACGAATTTAAATTAAATTAAATTTACAGAGATGGAAAAGAATGATATAAATAATAGAAAAAAGGACTATTTAAATATTTAAAAATGAAAAAACTTTAATCTATTTATTTTAGAACTTGAATTAAACACAAAAAGGAGAAAATTTTTGGGAGTTAATAATAATTGTTCATTGCAATCGTAATTAAATCGATTTTATGATATTCGAATTTAAAAGTAATGAAAAGGAAAATTTTCTTTTAACACATTTTGCCACTTTCACTAAGAAAAGTTTTTTTTTTTTTTTTTTTTTTAAATTTCAAAAAGAAATTTCTTTTGCAGGAAAAAGTATTTATCGGGAATGATAATTTAACAATAACCAATTATTATGATAATCAGAAAATTGCTTACAATTCTTTAGCTACACATTCTCTTCCCTTTAACTCCTTATTAAAAAAGAATTTGAAACCATTTCTATTATACATATAAGGTAATGATAACAATATAAGGTAAGTAAAATCGTATTGCGAATAATAATAATAATAATAGATGTAAATAGTAACAATAACAGATGTATTAATGATTATATAATGTTTCAAGTATTGTTTTTTTTTTTTTCTTTTTTAAATTAGTATCTGATTATTATAAACAACCATTTAAAGATAAGTCATTATGATTCTTTAAAAGCATTACTAATTAAATTACATTTTTATATTAAGCCAAAGGGAAAAGGAATGCTAATTTTAATTACCATAAAAAGGGAAATAAGAGAGAATGAAATATATTTTCAATTTAATTGTTGAGTAATTTTTTTTTTTTAAACTAGTTTGTAAAATTTAAATTATCTTATTATATTTTTCTTACTTTTTATATTAAAATCAGAGCCTCTAGGCACTGTATTTGTTTTTATCAAAGGTTCTGAACAAGTTTATTATTATAACAATTGGCAAACTTTCTAAGAGATTATTCATCCATTCATTAGTTGGATCAATATTCATTTATTTACCAAATATCAAGAAAATAAAACGAATTGTTTCAAATGATCAAAAAGACAAACTCTAAAAACGAAACGATGAAATTTCACTTAAAAATAAAAATGGAAAGATAGAAAGAATTACACCCAAAAAGCCAACAAAAATATTACTTTAAAAGCTAAAATAAAGTTTT